GCTCGAATTCCACTGGTCAGTATTGGTCACCTGGCCTTAACTAGATGCAAGGAAAATGGGCAAAGCAACTTAGTTTTGTGCCCAGGAAGAGGAATTGACATTTAGTGAGCAACTGTGACACTGTTAGAATGTCACTTTCTCTCTGCAGCAAGGGTCTAAGACTGTACTTTTTATAAGCACTGAAAAGTGTCTGCTGAACAAGTGAATGAACAAATAAATGAATAACTATGTACAGTTGTTTACTGTTATGTTTTTCTAAGGCAGAAAATGGGAAGAAACAGATATTTGTTACCCTGCTGTATTCACATGAACATTTATATTTGTGTAATTATTTCACAAACATTCTAAGAACTCATAAGTCCTTCAAGATATATTTTTATTATATTCCCTTGAAGATATTTTGAAGTCTTCCATGTGTCCAGTGCTATGCTTTATGCTCAGGAAATAGAGGTGCAAATCACAATTCCTGACCATTGGTAACTCAACTAGAATGAGCTTAGTGAGGAGAGGGAAAAAGAAATTAATAATCCCAATTATTATGTGGGTGCCATGATGGCAATATGAATGGATTGTGGTGGGATGCAAAAAAAAGGGCACCTGATTCAGTCAGAGATGGGCAATGTGGGGTTTCATCTCCCAGCAGAGGTGGCTCTTCAGGTAATTGAACATGAGTTTGCCAGTTGAGCCTCATAAGAGAAAGGTAAAGGGAATCAAATATATAAAAACTTGATAATTTAGAAACTAAATATAAATATAGGAGGTCAAAATGGGAGTTGAGTCTAGAGAAATAGCCTGGGTTGAGTCATGAAGCACTTACAAACTGGATTAAGTGAAAGAAAGAATGAATATAGATTAGGAAATGGGTATTACACAATTTGTCCCTATTGAATGAAAGAACAATACACAGTAAAATCTAAACAAAAGCTGTTATCCACATCCTCCAAAAATCTGTTTTTTTCTCCCTGAGAGCTACCTCAAATAATATGTGATTGGTAACATTAGGAAACAAAAACCTGCTCAATGTTGCAATGACAATTCTTTCATGGGAAAATATTAAACACAAGGACACAGAGAAAGGTTCAATATCCTCCATTCATCTCAATGTAGCCTTGCCTCTGAGAGTGGAACAGGAAAGAGGCCCATTTTAAGGAAAATAAGGGAAGTGATTTCACGGTTTTGCAATAGCTGTATCTGTCAACAGAATGGATTCTTTTAAGAAAGCTGTTTTAGATGGACTCTGGAAACAAAAAACAAAAAACTAGGAAAAATCCCAGGAGCTCCTGCTCTTGGAACTTCTGCCTCAGTGAAGAGGTTGTTAAAGTTGTTCAGTTAAAGAACCAAGTACGCAGCCAAGTTCAATCAGCAGTTACTGAGCATCCATGCACGCATTTATTCTTCATTCATTCAGCACATTGGAATGACACTTTTGTCCCCTGCATTATGTCTGGTGCTACAGGGGAGTAAAAACTCGATAGATATGGTCTTTTCTTTGAGAAGCTTCAACTAACACAAGAATCCAGAAGTTTCTGACCAAGGATGTGCTCTCCTTAAGGGTCAAATATCAGAGAGAGGGAGAGGGAGAGAGAGAGAGAGAGAAAGAGAGAGAGGGGAGGGAGAGAGAAAAGGGGTGGGGGAGAGAATGAGAACCTAGCATAGAACTAACAAAGAGAAGGCTCTCAGAAGCCTTGATGTCTGAAGATTCAAATCTTGGCCCTAAAGTCGGGCAACCACTAATTGGTTGTTTGACCTGCCAATTTTTTTTTAAAGAGCTGTAAAATGAAAATAATACCAGTTACATCATAATTGCCAAGTTTAAATGAGATGACTCATGTGAAAGCTTTTTGTAAACAGTACAGAACTTTGCAAACATTGGTGGTCAATTATTGAAGGTGAAAGAACCAAAATCTTCAGGCAGTGTTTATTAAAGTGTGTTTGTTGAAACACTAATACCCAGGGATAGTAATGGGCATTTCTCAAGAAGAAAGTTCTGTGGTCAAATTAGAAAAATGTAGAATTAAGCAAAGTAAAACACAGTTCTTTGACCTGTAAGACGCTAATGTGTATTGTGAACCTCAAGGAAAGCAACATACCATCTCTTTCCCTGAATTTATGTGATCTTGGAAGTCTACTTCACCCCTTTTCCAGCATCTCTAGGGCCTTGAGATTGACAGAACTCACTATGGGAACAATAATTATTAACTTTTACTTCAACAATCACCAACCTTTCAAAAGCGGAGCCATTTATCATCAGATAATCTAGAAATTCATTCAACAATTGCCCAGGCACAGGGCTGAGATGCCCACCACGGAGGTCTACCAGAACAAGAGCCGCCAACCCCTTGCCAGGATTAGAGGAGATTCCACCATGTAATGGGAGGTGCAAGGTGCTCTTGTGGATACATTTAACGTTTCTGCCAAGACACCCACAGGTGGCAAGGCAGTAGCGGATATAAAGTAACAAAAGTGAAGAGGCACGGGCTGCTTCTCAAAGACTTTATAGATTTTTCGTAAAAATACTGTCAAGTGACAACACAAGACAACTTCTACGCTTCTTCAAGAAGAGTGCGGAAACGTCTCTGGCAAGAAAAGACTGCTCCTTCCTCCCCGCGACAAGTACACCAGGCCAGTGGTTTTCCCTCTGTACCCTTTCCAGCTCCGGTTGCCTTTCGGATCCTTCTACACACCCCAAGCTCTGCCTGACTTGGATTTAAGATCTTTCCAGAGGGGACAACTAAAAGCCGCCAGGTGGAACGGCAGAGTGCAGGACGCCAGAGCAGCCCAGCTCAGGTAGGCTGTCGAGCCCCATTCACTCGGCCCTTTCGGGAGGGCGCACCTCCGAGCCCACCTCCGAGGGGCGGGACGGACCTGGAAGGGGCGGGGCGACCAGGGAGGGGAGGGGCGACCCTGGGAGGGGCGGGGCTACCCAGGAAGGCGGGGAAACCTGAGGGGAGCCCGGCAGCCCTCAGGGGCGAGGTGGGGCGGATCTGCTGGGGGTCGGGGGACTGGGGCGCGGGGAGGCGGCGGCGGCCTGAGAGGCGGGGTTACGGGGCGCGGCCGTGAGAGGTGCTCGGGGTAGCAGTTCCCCGAGTGGCGCGGGCAGAGTGCCGGCAGCAGGTAAGCGGCGAGCGACGCGCGCGGAGTGCGCGGGGCCTGGCGGGAGGGCAGGCGCTGGCAGGTGCGCTCTGCGGGCCGGCCGCGCGGCCTCCACCCGTCGGCACCGGGTCGCGGGGCTTGAGGGGGCGGCCTCACCCGCCGGGCCCCGGGACTCGCGGGGCCCCTGTTTGGGATGGCTCTTTGCCTCGGCCTTTGGCTTCTTCTTCTCGACGCCTGTCTCGCCGAGGCCTGGGGGACGGCTGCGGCCGGCGGGGGGCATCGCGGCCCGGACCCCCGGCCACAGGCCGCGACCCCAGCCCTAGGCGACGGCCGCGTCGCGCTGCCCTCGTTGGCCCCGGGCGGGCTCCCTTCCCGGGCGGGTCTGGGAACTTCTAGAAACTGCGAAGGTGTCAGAATGTCACTTTCCCTTGGCGTTTGCAAGCCACTGTCCACCCAGCAAGGTTAAGGTGCGACTTCTGCCGCTTCCACCTTTTTCTTTTTTCCCTGCTGTGGTACAGGAAGACAGAATGGTGGCACCGTGGGGTGTTGCGCCCTGATAACATCTGCGTTTGGGCAAGCTGGTTGCCAAGCCAAACGCTGATTCCTTTGAGTTTAAAATAAAGCATGTAAAAGGATTGCCTTTGTAGTTAAAATATTATTCCGATTTTCACTACAGGTATAAAGTTTTTTTTTTAATTTTCTTGATTAATAATGTTAAAAAACAGCCTGTGTAAATACTGACCTTGTTTTCCAAACAAGGTTAACAGAACTCTGTTTATCACTTTAATATTTTGATATATAACTGCATCTTGGTTAAAAATTACTTTTTCTGGAAAAAAAATGTTAATATTGCTTACCTTTAAGAGCCGGGATTTGAGGCAAGTTTTAAAAAATCTCTTCTTTATTTTGTAGTTTTTGCTAATGAATATGAGTTGCCTTCATAACTTAGGGGAAAAGCCTTAAGGAAAAAATTCTTTTTTTAACCTTGTAAGAAAAAGTTTTAAAAGTATGTCTTGAATTTTATTTGCGTCACTTGAATTATGATTGTGCACACATGAATAAAACTAATAAATTGAGACAGTAATATACAATGAGAAAATGAGTTTAAGATTTGTGTAGGACATCTGGCAGTCCTGTCTAGTTGGCAGTTAGATTTATTGGCATCAGGTTTTTCTGCAGTCTGACTCAGAGTTGTAGACTTTAGAAGCAGTAGTGGATTTGTGGTAATTAATCCTGTAAAAGGGTGAGAAATCATTCAAATAAATACAGGATAAGAAGAGAGAAAGACCAAGGATGGAAAACACTAATGTTTAAGTGACAGTGACAACCAAGGAGGCTGAGGGGCAATCTGAAGGGAGAAGGAATAGTAGTAGTGTACCAGGTGAGGCCCTAGAAGCCAGGAGGAGAGAATTTTAATGAGAAGAAAAGCTTATTTGGGAGTCACACCAGTCAGAGCAGTCAGGAAGTTTGCCTGTTGATGCTGGTAGTTAGGAAGGGGCCACGAACCCTAGCAAACTTAGTGAAATGGTAAGGGTCAATATGAATGAATTTGAGATGTGAATAAAGGATAAAAAGATTGTGAGTGTAGATCCATATTTTGAGAAACAACGGAGAAATGACATCATGGTTTTAAGAGAGGTATTTATAGTCAAATTGGAAAGAATATAAAGGACTTAAATATCATTATGTTAAAGTGAATCGTCTCGGCATTGCTTTTCATGGTTTGAGTAGCAAAACTGAGAACAAGCAGCTGAGCATGCTGAATAGTACTGTTCATAATAAAGTATTTCATCTCCCCCATCCAAATTATGAATACTATTTTAGTTGTGTGAATACTATTTTGTGTATTCAGTTCAGGTGTTGTTACTGTTGAAGTTCCAAGTATAAACTGTATTTTATATAAACTATATTTTACCTGAATTCCAGTGGTTTGATACTCCCAACGTGTTTTTAAGTCATTTGATTCCTTCACGTATACCTCAATGAATCTTCTGAAAATCTTATATTTTGACTAAATCAGAATGGAGGCATACGTTAGGGCTTTTGCTTCAATTGTTATGCAAGGGGAAATGCACTTAGATAAAAGCTTCTGTATGTTTCACTGAGAGTGATTTTAGTTGTTACGCTAGAATTCAGACACTTATTTTGAATATATTCCTTAGAATATGAAAAGAATGATTAAATTGGAAAAGTCTGACTACCAAGTGTTAAAGAGGACGCAGAATAACTGGAATTCTCATGTTGTACTGGTGGGAGTGTAAATTGGTGCAATCATTTTGAAAATTCTTTGGCAGGATCTACTAAAGTAAAACATGCATAAAATATTCTCCAACTTATAGCCCCCCAAATTCTAGATGATGCTGTCACCAATATATACTTATATTACTCATTTAATTATATGTTTTTATTGTATATATGTACAATTTATTGTAGGTCAATTTAACCTCAATAAAGCTGTAAGAAAGAGTAAATAAAATAGTGAAAGAAATCATATCATTTAGGTATATTTACCTCCTTTAAATCTCATCTCAAGGTGATGAGATTATGAATGTTTAATTTTTAATTCAGAAAGTACTTAATATTTACAAACTACTACTCTTGGTACATTTATAGATTTAAAACAAATACCTGTGTGCTTCTCTCATGCTTAAGAAATAATATATAACCAATATTTTTTTTAGTTGTAGCTAACTTTATTTATTTATTTTTATGTGGTGATGAGGATCAAACCCTGTTCCTCGCAAGTGCTAGGCAAGCACTCTTCCACTGAGCCACAACCTTAGCCCTATAACCAATATTTTTGAAGCTGCCCTATGCATTCCTCTCTGATTATATCTTTCTTTCCATTTTCCTTGCTTTTCTCTGTACTTTTGCCACATACATATGTATTCCTAAACAATGTGTTGTTTAGTTTTGCCTATTTGCAGTGCTATATAAATGAAATTACATTATTTCTATGACTTTTTATACAATATTATATGAGTATGAAACAAATGAATTTCATTTTTAGACTTGGTTTCCATCCCCAGTGTATTTCATTATATATTTGCAAACATTAAAAAGAAATCCTAAATACCAAGCATTTCAGATAAGGGATACTCAATCTGTATGTGTGTTTATATATACAAGCAATATAAACACTGAGTACAGACTCAGTATGATAATTGCACAAGCCAAAAGACAAAAAATAAATGAAACCCTCCTACATTGCTGGTAGGAATATAAAGTAGTGTAGCTTCTTTGTACGAAACTTTGGCAGTTCCTCAAAAACTTCACATAAAAAGAAAAAAGTTCACATAAAGTCATAAGGTTACCATGTTACCCAGGAATTCCATTCCTGGTTTAATATATCTATAAGAATGGAAAACATACTTTTATGCAAAAACTTGAATACAAAAAGTTCATAAGCAACCCAACTATCCATCAACTGATGATGGAAAAACAAAATGTGGTATATGTTTGTCCATACAGTGGAATATTATTCAACCATAAAAGAGAATGAAGTACTGACTCATGCTACAACACTGGATAAACCTTGAAAACTTGAAGATAAGTGAAGGAAGCAAGACAGAAAAAGACCATATTGTATGATATATATGAAATGTCCGGAATAGGCAAATCAGAAATGAGGTAAAATATGGTTGCCAGAGGCTGGAAGAAAAGTTACTACAAACAGGTACAAAGTTTCTTTTGGGGAGTAATGAGACCATTTTTCAATTAGATAATGATAACTCTTGAATTAGATAGTGATAATTGTACAACTGTGTGAAGTGGTATGTTGTTATAGTTTTGATTTGCGTTTCCCTAATAGATATGTTGAGCCCCTTTTCATGTTTATTGGTTATTTGTCTGTTGCCTTTGGAGAAATGTCTGTTCAAATCGGTTGCCCATTTTAAATGTGTGTGTGTGTGTGTGTGTGTGTGTTATAGGTGGACACAATACCTTATTTATTTTAATGTGGTGCTGAGGATCAAACCCAGTGCCTCACACGTGTTAGGCAAGTGCCCTACCACTGAGTCACAACTCCAGCCCTGTTAGCCCATTTTTAATGGGGTTATTTGTCAAAGTATGAATTTAAATGATCTGGTAAGCAAATACTTGTATTCTCCAGAGGAGTATACTTTAATTTTTGGCTTAGAAAAGTTACCAGGAAAGTTTCATGGTCAGTGAAAAGCAAGTGCAAAAAGGAAATAAGACGCCTAGCAACAATCAGCAGAAACAATTGATAATTAGAAATATACCTACGAAAGTTTGAATTACCAGTCATAGATTATTAAAATAAGTATACTAAACCATTTTTAAGTAAAGTTTGTGTCTTATTTTAAGACACCGAGTTTGTGGTTTGTGGTATTTTCTTACAATATCAATATAAAAGCAATACAAAAAATGATATTAATAAAAATGGGAAAGAGAAAAAAAGTAATACAATAACCAATCTGTTAGAAGAAGAAGAAAAAAGATCATAAACCCTCAGTCAGTCCAAAGGAAGACATGACAGGAAAGAAAAATAAACAGAGGACCATTAGGACAAGGAAAAAGCTCAAGATAAAAAAGCATAGGGCTAAACTCACATACGTCAATTACCTTAAATATTTGTAAATGGAATCAAGTACTCCAGATAAAAGATAAAGATTGTCCATCTGGGCTAAACTACCTCAGCTTAATGCTATTTATAAAAGACATATCTAAAATATGTAAAGACTTATAAACTGAAAACAGTAAACATAAGGGAAAAGATATACCACATAAAACTATTAAAAAGAAAGCTGCATAGCTATATCGCTATCAGACAAAATCAATTTTAGGCTAAGAGCATTTCTAATAAGTTAAAGCACTTTTATATGAGTGGACTAAATACAAATAAAATGCAAAGATTGTTAGAATGGAAATATAACAGTCCAACTATGTGTTGTTTATAAAAACAACTGGAATATAACACAAATTGAAAAGAAAATGCTGGAAAGAACATAACATGCAAGTTAACTGAAAGAAATCTGTGATGGCTATAGTAGACAAAGCCAACTTTAAGGCTAGAAGTGTTAGTAGAAACTAAGAGGAATATTATTTAATGAGCTTGTATGTACCTAATAAATTACTCTCAAAATACATAAAACAATTCTGATAGAACTAAAGGAGAAATAAATATATTCATAGTCATAGTTGGAGTTTTCATTTTAACCACATCTGTTTTTTAGTACCTATAGAACAAATAGAAATATGAAAGATTTTAACATGACTAACAATTTAATTGACATGCATAGAACACTGTGCCTCAAAATTGTAAATGTACATGGGATATTTATCAAATTTGATCATATGTTATGCCTCAAAGCAAGTTTCAAAATTTTAAAATATTGAAGTCATATTGAGAGTTCTCTGACTACAGTGGAATTCAGCTACATATTCAGAGAATCTGGGTAACTTTTCCTTTATCAAGGACTGGAAACTCCCTTCAAGGTAGTAAAGTGTAGGGCTTATTGTGTTTCCCGTTTCTTTGTTGTTTGTTGCCTAAACCAGTGTTTTGAATATTGATGTTTCATACATTTTGTTTGTTTCTCAGGTGGTAGGTCCCAGTTGTTCTATTTTGTCTATGTACAAATATTTTAAATCATTTTTCTTCAGTGTATTCCTGGATGTATATTTTTTAAAAAACTATTTTTTAGTTGTAAATGGATCTTTTATTTTATTTATTCATTTATATGCAGTGCTGATGATTGAACCCACGGCCTCACACATGCCAGGCTAGTGCTCTACCACTGAGCCACAACTCCAGCCCTGGGTGTACATTTTAATCAGATTTCTTTTATTCATATAAACTTGTCTCCCTTTCTATGTCTTTTCCCCATCTTTCCTACCTCATTTTAGGTGATTCCAGGTCATCAACTCTGAGGATTTTTCCCTTAGAAGTACCAATCATTTTTAATCAGTCCTCCTACATTCATCTCATGATTAACGTTAAGTATTTGAGAATAGAAAGGAAGTTTGATGAGTATGTTAGTGTTTTTAAAGGAGGTGAAATATGTTTTCTTATCTATTAATTAGAGTTGATGAGTCCCAACTATATTCTCAATAGTAAGTTGAGGATTTTTTAAATGTTATTGTATTTTTATACCTTTATTTATTTTTATGTGGTGCTGAGGATCAAACCCAGTGCCTTGCTAGGCAAGCGCTCTACCACTGAACTACAACCTCAGTCCCTACTAGGCTTGAGTTCTAAAGAGAAAGTACAATATTGTTTCTGAACAGTTTATATTTTAGAAGAATATAAATAGAACAACAGCTAGATAGAACAACAGCTCATGAAATATCAAGAAAAATGTTAAACTCTTTTATTTTAAAGTACACTAGACATTTAGAAATGAGAAAGAAAATTAGATCTGAGTAGTTAAGGAATGGTTCTTCTAAAACATTGGGGCTAAACAGAGCTTTTGAAAATGTATACACTTAAAAATGAAAATAAGTTACAAGATGTAATGAAAAAGATGTAACTTATAATAACTAAGTAAATTACACAGGCATTAAAACTTTGTATGAGGATAACTATAAAAACTCCCAAAGGTACAAAGATAGACATGAGCAAATGTAAAGAGATAATTTTGTTCTGGGTAGGAAGGCAATATCCTTAGGATGTCAGTTTTTCTAAAATAATTTATTAGTTTGAAAGTATTATAATATTTTTCCTCTATAATAAATAATCCAGACATATTGCAAAGAAAGTGAAAAGCAGAAAGGGTGGCTAGCCTTTTAAGCCTTTAAAATGGAAATAATGTGATATTGGTACAACAATGGATAGACAAATTGAAGAGAATAGAAAATACAGAGACCAACCCAAGTGCATATGGAAATTTAGTGTTATGATAAAGGGAAGACCCTAATGTCAGTGGAGAAAATATGATATTTTTAAATATGTGGTGTTTATGATACATAAAAAAATAGAAACGCAAAAGATTTTAACCAATTGGGAAAATTGGAATAACCAATTGGGAAAATATAGGTTTGGATCCATTTTTCATATTGTATACCACAATGTCCATATAGAAAATAATAACATATTAAGTACTAGAATAAAACATAGGTAAATTACTTATGATCTATATAGGGAGAAAAGTTTACTGTGACTCAATCCAGAAGCAAAAAGGAAAAACATAGGAGAGTATGCTGCATGTGTGTTTGTGTATGTGTTTCTATGTAACTTTGTATATGTTTACATAAACTTTTTGAGGACCAGCATGACACTACAAGTAGAAAATTCCATATTATGAAAGTGTTTCATGCTCAGAATTACTTTCGGGTATATAAAGTGTATATATTAAATATAAATGAATTTCATATTTAGACTTGGTTTCCATTTCCAATATATTTCCAAATATTATATATTTACAAATATTCCAAAATCTAATAGACAAACAAACCCCAAATCCTGAATTCCTAAATACTTACAGTACCAAGCATTTCAGATGAGGAATATTCAATCTGTATGTGTGTATATGTATACAACCAATATACACACTGAATGCAAACTCAGTATGTTTGTGTATAAGTATGTAGTGTGGTTGTATACATACACACCTTTGCATAGCAGAAAACACAATAAAGTAAAAACTGAAAATTTTTTTGCCACTTATATGGTGGATAGTGAGTTAATCTCTGAAATATATAAAGAACTTCTAAAACGAGAAGAAAAAGACCAAAAACTTTATAAAGATGAGCAAGACATATGAACCGAGAATTCATAGAAACAAATATAAACTAGCTTTATATGAAAAGATGCCCACATCACTTATAATAAGATAGATGTAAATTAAAACAACACAAAATGATCCCTTCCTTAACATATTGGCAGAAGTCCAGCATTCGGACAACATATTTTGTTGGTGACAGAAACAGGTGTTCTCATACATGGGGAATACAAAATGATTCAGTTTCACAGGGAAATGTAGCAATACAAGTAAAATTACACATATATACTCTTTGACCTGGTGTGTGTGTGTATAATATATATTATACACACACACACACACACACATATGTATCTTACCTGGTGTGTGTGTGTGTGTGTGTGTGTGTGTATATACACACACGTATATATGATCTTATAGGTATATATTGAGAAATATGTGTGTATAGAGATACTGAGGCGTTGTTTCTTTTTAAAAAAATTTTTTAGTTGTAGGCAGACACAATATCTTTATTTTATTTATTGATTTATTTTTATGTGGTGCTGAGGATCAAACCCAGTGCCACACCCATGCTAGGCATGTGCTCTACCACTGAGCTACAACCCCATCCCCTGTGGCATTGTTTCTAATAGCAAAAGATGAAACAGTCCACATTTTTGTCTCAATTTCAACAAAGCAACTATTAAAGGATTGAAATCATAAAAGGATTTTTAAGATATACTTAATATATATGTGTGTTTAAGATATACTTTTAGTTCTAAGGATTCAAATAACATAAATTATATAGTTATTTGTTTATTGGCCCCAGTTATAGGGATTTTGAATTACAAAAAAATGAGTAGTTGCTACTGTTAAATTTTTGATATGTGATAATGCCATTATGGTGATATATATATATATATATATATATATATATATATGCTTATAACTATATATGGTGAAATATTTCTTGAAATATTTTTAAGAAATGTATATATTTAAAACAAGTACATACCTTTTAGAAATATTTGACGTTACAAATACTGTTTGTTTTAATGCTTAAAGTGATCCATCTTCAGCTGGTGAGAGCCTCTTGAAGTTAACCTCTGAATCCTTCTGCTACATTTCTTAGATTACTAATTAAGTACTTATGGATGAAATTATATGATTGGAATTTATTTCAAAATAACCCAAAGGACATTACCAGGTAAGTTGGGGGGCAGAGATGAAATAAATATTTTCATGATTTGGTAATTGTTTTATTTGGGTGATTTGAGTTTTGTTAGCCTGTATTTTTTGCATATGTTTAAAATTTCTCACTAAAAAAACGTTTGGAGTAAGTAGGCATAAATTAGGAGAATGTATTTGAAACAAAGACCTTGAAACTAAGGTGGGAAATTGGATGTGAAATCCTTATACAATTTTATATTCCCAGTACATATAAAACTGATTCCTTTTATTTGCACTATATTTATGGTGTGTGTGTGTGAGAGTGAGAGAAAGAGAGTGTGTGTGTTTAAGATATACTTTTAATTCTAAGGATTCAAATAACATAAATTATATAGTTATTTGTTTATTGGCCCCAGTTATAGGGATTTTGAATTACAAAAAAATGGATTTGGGGGAAGTGAATTTTTTTCATACTTTTTAATGACATAGCGCTATGTTTTCTTTCAAATTTTTCTTGAATATAGTTTTAGGCATATCACATATAAGAGAAAATTGAGAATGGAATTTTTCTTTGTCAGATTTTAATATAGACGTTGTTCATTTAATAATTTTTAAGCATACCATTTTAATAATTTTAAAGACTCCTAGATCATATAAAATTATATATGGGAACAAAAAAATCTATCATCCTTGTAATATTTTTACTTTGAAGCCCTCATTATGTCTTATAAAAATAGATATTATGATTTATTTAATGATATCTAATGGCATTAAGCATGATAATTTTAACTTGCTTTCTATTCTACCACCAGGTTCATATTAAAATTGGAAGTTTCTATCTTTTGAGGGACATTGGAAATTGAATGTAATGGCAGCAGAATTTATAAAGAGTTGCTGTAGAGGATGTTTCCATGGTGAAACAGAAAAGCACAAGTGTGAGTTTTATTTTGTTTTGATTTCAGTAAACATTTATTTAGTGCCTTATTTATGGCATTGTGGAGAATGAGACAAATTGGGAGTGTTTCCTAACTTTGTGGGGGAAGCAAAATGAGAAGGCACAGTAGGAAGTATTCCAGAACCCCAGGTATCCTGAAACGTACTGGGGAGAGAGGTGGATTCAACCTAGGAGATAATAACCTGGACATCACCATAAAGAAGATGACATTTGCCACAGAAGCCTGAACAGCATTTTACAAGCTGAGCAGAAGTAAGAGGAAGTAAGAGAATGGGACAGTTGAACACTGATGGATGGATGGAATGATGTAGGCAAAGGCAGGGAGAGAAGGTATTTGGGGGACAACATGCTCTGATAAATGTTTCAGTATAAATAAAGAAAATTTCTGATTTATGAATAGTACATTTAAAATGCTTTATATGAATGAATGATCCATGGGTGAAATACCCATAACTTTATCATGACCCACATTTATCAAGGACCGCTGGAGATTTCCCTTTCAAATGCATGGTTTCCTTATCTCTTCAGGGTTCTGATTGGGACTTTATTTTTCTCTGATTCTTTCTGATATTTTTTAGTCTAGGGAAGAGCTTCCTAGTACCCTAGTATATTTGGGTATGAAGGTGTATTAGTCTATCTTCTGGTGCCCATAACGCTTGGTACTATAGACTGGGGAAGTTTTAACAAAAAGAGATTTATTTTGGCTCATGGTTCTGGAAGACCAACGTCAAGGGGCTGCATCTGGTGATGGCCTTCTTGCTGGTGAATTGAAGATGGTTCAGGGTCTCACATAGCAAGAGACAGGAATTGAACATGTGTATCCTGATCTCCCTTGTATTTTATTTTATTTTTTGGTGAAGGTGCCAGGGATTGAACTTAGGGATGCTTTACCACTGAGCCATATCCCCAGCCCTATTTTTTATTTAGAGACAGGATCTCACTGAGTTGCTCAGTGCCTCACTTTTGCAGAGACTGGCTTTGAACTCCAGATCCTCCTGCCTCAGCCTCTCAAGCTGCTGGGATTATAGATATGCGCCACTGCACCTGGCTCCCTTTCCCTTTTAAAAGCCATTAACATTCAGTCATGGGGATTCTACTTGATGACCTTATCTAATCCTTATTACCTCCCAAAGGCCACAGTTCTAAACACATAGTTGGATTAAGTTTCCACCCTCTTAATATATCACAGTGGGGATTAAACTTCAACACATAAATCCTTGGGAGATATATTTAAACAATATCCAATACGTAATAGAGGGCTTCTTTTTTACATGAAATCATTACATAAGTTCCTACACTACAGTGTTGTACTTTCATTTATTCTGCAAATAATACAAAATATAAAGATGAACTCTAGTGTTGCTTACTTGCTTACCTGCCTATCTTAGTCTTTCAGTTTAGAAATCAGAATGGATAAAATGGGTCATACAAGCTAGGACCAGGAGAGTTCTATAATGATATATCTAGAGTCAGCATGCATTTTATTTGTTTTGGTGGAGATCTGTGTAGACTTGGATACCTTTGGCTTCTCAATATTGCTTTATATATTTGAAACTCACGTTAACCAGTAGCATTAACAACAAAATTGCTTTGTTGAAGAGTAAAGAGTCTATAAAATGGGAGAAAATCTTTGCAAGCTACTGCTCTGACAGAGGATTAATATTTAGAATATATACAAAACTGAGAAACTGAACACTAAAAAACAAACAACACAATCAAAATACAGGCAAATGAACTGAGCAGATACTTTTCAAAAGAAGTGTGAATGGCCAGTAATATGAAAAAATGTTCATCATCTTTAGCAAATCAAATGCAAATCAAAACTACATTAAGGTTCTCTTTCACCCTAGTCAGAATGGTTGTCATCAAGAATACAAAAAGCAATAAATTGCAGGTGAGGAGGTGGGAAATGAACCCTTATACACTATTGGTGGGAATGTAAATTAGTACAGCTACTATGGAAATCAGTATGGAGAGGTTCCTCAAGAAATTAAAAATAAACCAAATATATGATCTAGCTAAACCATTCTTGGGTATAAATCCAAAGGAATTAGGTCAGCATACCCATGTTTATCATGGCACAATTCAAAATAGCCAAATCATGGAATCAGCCTAGGTCCTTATATATACACAATGGAATATTATTCAGCCATAAATAAGAATGAAATATTATTTGCAGGAAAATGGGGGGAACTGTAGGTCATAAAGTTAATTGAAAAAAGTCAGACAGGTGTCATATTTTTTCTAATGTGGAATCTAGGGTTAGGGAAAGACATGAAACTAATCAGAAAGAGGAAGGGGATGGGATAAGGAGAGGGGAGGTAATAGAGGGTAATGGGGATGTGGGGGAGGGAGTGAATATGATCAAAGTATGCTATTTTTTTCTTTTTATTTGTTGCAAATAGTTACACATGACAGTAGAAAGCATTTTGACACATCATACATAAATGGAGTATAACTTATTCTTCTACACCAGTTGTGTAATCATACATGCACATAGGGTCATAATGTCCAATTCATTCTTTCCTACTCTCATACCTGCTCCCCTCCCTTCACTCCCTTCTGTCTAATTGAAAGTACCCCTTTTCTTGTCTAGCTGCCCCCACCCTACTCCATCCCTGCCCCTCTTATTGTGAGTTAGCATCTGTATGTCAGAGAAAATATTCCACCTTTGGTTCTTTGGGATTGGCTTATTTCACTTAGCATGATATTCTCCAGCTCCCTCCATTTACCTGCAAAGCTCATAATTTCATTCTTATTTAAGGGTGAGTAATATTCCATTCTGTACATATACCACATTTTCTTTATCCATTCATCCATTTTAAGGCATCTAGGTTGGTTCCATAATTTAACTATTGTGAATTGAGCTGCTATAAACATTGATGTGCCTGCATCACTGTAGTATGCTGAATTTGAATCCTTTGGGTATAGACCAAGGAGTGGGATAACTGGGTCAAAGGTGGTTCCATTCCAGGTTTTCTGAGGAATCTCCATACCGCTTTCCTTAGTGGCTACACCAATTTGCAGTCCCACCAGCAATGTATGAATGTACCTTTTCCCCTACATCCTCACCAAAATTTATTGTTGCTTGTATTCTTGAAAATTGTCATTCTGACTTGAGTGAGATGAAATCTTAGATTTGATTTGCATTTCTCTAATTGCTACAGATGATGAACATTTTTTCATATGTTTGTTGATCAATTGCATTTCTTCTTCTGTAAAGTGTCTGTTCAGTTCCTTATCCTGTTTATTGATTGGGTTATTTGGGGTTTTTTGGTGTTAGGTTTTTTGAGTTCTTTATATATCCTGGAGATTAATTCTCTATCTGAGGTGCATGTGGTAAAGATTTTCTCCCATTCTTAGGCTCTTCCTTCACATTATTGATTGTTTCCTTTGCTGTGAAGAAGCTTTTTGGTTTGAATCCATCTCATTTATTGATTCTTGATTTTAAAGTATGTTATTTGCATGTATAAATATGCCACAATGAAACCCATTTTTATTTTTTTATTTATTTAATTTTTAATTGATTTTTTAAATAAATGACAGCAGAATGCATTACAATTCATATTAAACATATAGAGCACAATTTTTTATACCTTTGATTGTATGTAAAGTATGTTCACATCAATTTATGTCTTCATATGTGTACTTTGGATAATGATGCCCATTACATTCCACCATCATTGCTAGCCCACTGCCCCTTCCCTTCCCCTCCCATGAAACCCATTTTTAAATGACTAGATTTTCACTTGAAAGAGTTATGAAATCAACTACAAAATAAACTTATTTTTCATCAATGAACTTTATTAGGAATGAATCTTTAAAAATTACTTTTAACCATTATGATGTGATAATGTACTTTAGCAATAGTATATTAATTACTAGACTTTGGTCAAAATTAACATAGATTCTGGAAATGCTTATAGGACCCAAGAGTAGTTTATGTGTCAGAAATTTCTAGGTTTAGATTATTATATGTAATATGATTCATATTTGTGACTTTTTTTTCTACCTTTTTTCTTTTATATGCAGTTTCTGTGGAAAGAGATAGTAAAGCAGCAGTCTCAAATAGTCAGACTACCACTATCTGTATACCTCCGTTGACTTCTGTTTCTGTAAAGCCTCAGGTTGGCTGTACTGAGGATTATTTGCTTTCCAAAATACCCTCTCATGGCAAAGAAGTACCATTTGTGGTGCCTAAGTTCAAGTTATCTTATATTCAGCCCAGGGCACAAGGAACTCCTTCTCATCTGGAAGAACTTGAAGGTAAACAATAAAATAGCAGGATTTAAAACTTAACATACAGCATTTTAAATACTGTCATTGATGTTATTTTACTCTTTTATCTTTAATACAAAATTTATATTAAAATTATATATTTTGTTTTATGTGTTTTGCTCTTTCTGTAGAAGAACTGAATGTATAGTGTTTTTGAAGGGTCCCAGTATGAAATCTGATCACATGTAGTGCATTTGTATATAGATTTGGTGTTTTAAAACAAGAATAATATACATCTCAGTAATCTTTCACATATCTAGAAAGAAAAAATAAAGGAATTATTCTGTATTTGATCAGTAAACATAAAAACAAGTAGTTTCTCATCTACCACTTTCTAAAAATTGGTACAATGAGAAATAAGGAAACAGCCAGGTAGTCCTTGTTCCTTCCCTTGTTTTTTCACCAGTCTGTCTCCCAGACTAAGTAGCTACCTGCATAAGATAGATTCATTGGCTGATATTTGGCTTATGTTGTAGAGGCTAGGAACTAATGAAGATAGGATGAAACAATATGTAACTTTTAAAAATAATTTGTATTATTCCACTGAAACTCCACCAGTGACTTTTCCCCCTCAAATTTTTATTAGAAAAATTTTAAACTTACAGAAAAGTTGGAAGAACTTAACAGTGAGTACCTACCTGTGTGTTTACCACATAAATTCTCATATTAGCATTTTCGGTACTTGTTATTATCACATGTCTATTCACCTACCTGGTCTTCTACACATTATTAATCCCCCCTGCTTTTTTTTTTTTTTTTTTTTTGGTGAGTGATGGGGAATGCATTTTAGAGTAAATTGAAGACATCAATATGTTTCCCTCTAAATACTCAAAAAAGTTTAGTAATCTGTTTAAAATTTCTTCTTTTGACATAAATCTTATAGACTGTGAGCTGCCCAAGTGTATATGTGCTGAATTTTATGTATGTTTATTGAATATTGAAGAGTATGTACAACAGTATATTCCAAATTCCTGTCACTATTTTTTTTCTGCCCTATCCTCTTTCCATCTTCTGAGATTCCAGTTACACACATTTTGAGCTTTGATAATGTTCTATGGCTCTCTGAGACTGTTCATTTTTTCTAATCATATGTTTTTTCCTTTCTCTTCTTTAGATTGGGTAATGGTGTTCTCTTTTCAAGTTCACAGTCTTTTACTTCTGTAATCGCCATTCTGCTCTTCAGCCTATCTAGTGAATGTTTTATTTGAGGTGTGCATTTTCAATTCTAGAATTTATATTTGGTTCTTTTTCTTATTTTTTATGTGTCTCCCACAACTTTCTATTTTTATATTACTTCAAGCCTATTTTATGTCTTTAAGCTTTAAAATCTTTGCTAATTTTAACATCATCAAGATTTGGATTCTGTGACTTGCCTTTTTTCTTGAGAATGAGTTAACATTTTCCAGTTTCTTTGTATATGGAATAATTTTGAATTATATTCTGGACATTGAATGTTATGTTGTAGATACTCTAGATTTAGTTACATTAATTTGAGAAATTCTCTTTCCCTCCTTTCCCGCCCCTTTTTTTCCTTCCTTTGTCCCTCCCTTCCATCAGATATGTAACTCGGTTGAATGTAGACTGCAAATTCTGTCTTGGCAGCAACCTTGTATGGTGATTCATGGATCAGTCAGATATTTGAGCAGACTTCTTTATAAAATTTGGAACTCTCTCCTTTCCAGGATTCCCACCTTTCTTTCCAGCAGCTCTGGTTGCCTGGAATTCTGCTTTCTGCTTTTTCTGTGCATTTGCTGTTGGAGTTTTACATATCCCGCGTGGTGTCACTTTTGGCCTATACTCAGGCTTAAAGTTATCAAAACAGATAACTCACTTTAGGCCCTTACCTTTTTTTCAAGAGTCAACTGGTGTCCAGAATCTGCACTACTGTTCTTTATTCTTCAGTGCCTTTAGGGATTTTGTTTTATCTAGATAATTTGTTGTTATCTATAGGAGAGTTGGGTCTGGTAGGAGTAGTTTTTGTTTTTTTGTTTTTGGAAAGAAGGAAAGATGAACCCAGTGCATATCTAGTATCTCTCAAAAATAGTTTTTCTACTATCATGCATAACTAAAAGAACAAATTTTTAAAAAAGTTCTGGCTCACAGGATATCCTGCTCAATAGATCTTATTGTTTTATTTCATACTTGTTAACAACATTAGGATCAGACTGTGCAAGTAATCTCATAATCATTTCTTCACATTATACATGGTGAACATGTTTTCTTATTCAGTGTTTTTATTTATTTATTTTTGGTACCAGGAATTGGACTCAGAAGCGCTTTATCACTGAGCCACATCCCCAACCCTTTTTGATAATTTATTTAGAGACACGGTTTTGCTTTATTACTCAGGACCTCACTAAGTTACTAAGGCTGACTTTGAACTCATAATCCTCCTACTTCAACCTCCGGAGATGCTGGGATTATAGGCATGTACCTCCATGCCTGGCTTATCCATTGCTTTTTAATGACCCCATAGTATTTCATCATATGGGTGTACCATGATTGTTTAATGAATTCTGTATTCTGAGACACACAAGGTATTTTATGTACTATTTTTATAATCAGGAAAAAAGTAAGAAATAGCTACCTAGAAATATGTTATGGCTTTTCTTTGTTTTTCTCATTGCACTCACTAGAAAACAAAATTGCATTTTGACTTGAATGAGTGAAAAATTAACTCTTAAATTGTAGGTTCATTGAGGATGTAGTAAAACTATCTAATTTTTATATATTGAAGAGAAAATTGCTCTTTAAAAATTTTTTTAATTGTAGATGAACACAATTATTTTAGTTATTTATTTTTATGTGGTGTGAGGATTGAACCCAGTGCCTCATGTATCCTAGGCAAGTGCTGTACCACTGAGGCACAACCACAGCCCAGAAAATTACTTTATTTACTTAGATTCAAAAAGTATTCTTGGAACCTAAGTCTTATGTGTTGTAGGTGTGCATGTGTGCATGTGCAAGTGATAGCCTGATACGGAGGACAAAGTTTTGAGAAGGTAGACCCCTATCAATAGCAACTAAAATTATAATTCAAGTATATTTGAAGTGTTTTTTTGTATATGGAATAATTTCTGGTCTGGCTTATTTTCCTTCAAGTGACAGGATTTCATTCTTGATAATAGGTGTGATTTATAGCTGTACCTTACTGCCTTCATAAAAAAATTACTATTAACATTGTGCTGTTCTTGTTTTTTCACATATCTACCTACCTAGCCATTAAGAATATGCATTTTAAATTTAAAGAATTTTAAATAGGCTTTTGAGAAGGATGAGCAATCATGTAACTTTACATTTAGTTTTATACTTTAGTAAATTGAGAGAAATTCTACACTATCTCAGGGCAAAATTGAATTTCTCTAATGAGAAAAATGAAATGAGAATACTGTATTCTTTTTTAAGTGTAGCTTGTTAAGCTAGTAAATCATCTTGGTGCTACTACTGTAGGATTTCTTTTATTTGAAGGATTTCTTCCTAATGATTAGGCTACTTGGGTTACTATAAAGATTTGTAATATTGTTTGTGTGCTAAATGATCTCAGTGTCTGTTTATAAGATATATAGGTAATGAATCTGACATCACAATTCATTAGGCTTCTCTCCCATGTGCTAGATATACTTGGTTGTAACAGATATTTGAACCAAGATGAGGATAAAATCTTACCTCATATTCCATATTTTATTTTTCTCTTCCTAACTCTATGCAAAATCACTTATTTTATATTTAGCTAAATTCAGAAAATACCAGTTTCCGTGTGTTTCATTTTAAGTGGAACAAAAAGAATTAAAAGATGACAGTAAATTAAACCTTTGAAAAACTTCATTTTATGTCTGTATTTTATTCCTAAAATGATTATTAACCTTAAGAAATTTTTAAATTGTGAGATATCATACACACATAGGCTAATGCACAAAACAGAAACACATAGTATAGTAAGTTATTACAAAGCAAAACATCTGCAGTCGGCACAAGGTAAATAGAGTATCACTAGCAACCCAAAAGCCTCCCTGTTCCCTGCCTGACAGTCACCCAGGGTATCAGAGTTGCATTTTTATGAACACATATTAATCATACAAATTAATGGGTTTTGCTGTGACATTTTCATGCATACCTAGAGAGAAGCCTAATGAATTACTGCAAGGATTACATTCACCCTCTGGTGTGTCCTCTCTCACCCTGCCCTTTCTCCCTACTCCCTCAGACTCTCTTACCAGCTCCTCATAGTTACTTCTCTACTTTCTGGTCATCTTTTTATAATTTAATATTATGTTTTGAGTTTCCACATGTAAACATGTAATATTTGCCTTTCTGGTCTGGCTTATTTTCCTTCAAGTGACAGGATTTCATTCTTTTTATGCCTTAATAATTACTGTGTGTATGTACCACATTTTCTTTATACATTTGTCTGTTGATGGTCCGTAGACTGATTCCATATATTGGCTGTTGTGAATAGTGCCTCAGTAAACATGGGTATGCAGGTGTCTTTTGTATGCTGACTTCATTTCCTTCAGATATATACCTAGGAGTAGGATAGTTGGATTATCTGGTGATTTTATTTTTAGTTTTTACACAATCATTATAATTTTCTAGTTTTTCTTCTTAATAATTAAGCACATATCCCTTAAATAGTGGTTTAATTTTTTTCTGTGTTCTGACCTTTATTTAAACAAAATGATATTAGTATATATTCTTTTGTTTATGTTTTTCATTCAACATTGTGAGATTCTTTCACGTTGTTAGTTTTAATTTGTTTTCATATCTGTATGTAAATGTACATTATAATTTATTCTAAATAGCATAATATATGGTATTTTTTTGTATAGAATATAAGAAGGTATTTTTATGTATCAGATATATACTACTTTTTATCTGTTTTACTGTTATTTACATTTGAGGTTCTTTTTCAATTTTTGGCTAGTAGAGATAATGATATTTACAAATTTTCTTGTACATGTCTCTTGGTGTACACATATAGAAATTTCTGTTGTATATATGTCTACAATGACATTATTGGGTCATTGAATATAAATATCTTCAGCTTTAGTAGTAACTGCCAAACTGTTATTCACAGTGATTGGATCAATTTACATTCACACCAGCAAAGTACAGTTGTTTACATTGCTTCTTGTCAGTGTTTGCTCTTGGTAATATTTTTAGTTTCAGCTATACTGTTGTGTGGTAATATTTCAATGGGGTTTAAACTCATATTTCTTTCATTATTAATGAGGTTGTTGACCTCTTCTGTTGTTGCCTGTTTAAGTCATAAGCCAATTTATATTGAGGTCTGTCTATCCTTTTTGTACTGATTTATAGGAGTTCCTCATATGTTCTGGATATAAGCTCTTGCCAGTTATGTCGTCTCCCACTCTGTGGGTTACCTTTGTATTTCTTAGTCTTTTGACAAATGGAAATTTTGACTTTTAGTATAGCTGAATACATTTATGGTTAATATGTTCTGTGTTCCATTTAAGTAGTATTTCCCTGTCCTAAGTTTGTGAAAAAATTACAAATTAACAAGTACAGAAGCTTTACTTGCTTGCCCTTGGCAGTTAATTTAGATCTACAAGCCCCAGGTAATTAATTTTTGCCAATATATTTGGTTGAAAGAAGGCTTATAATTTTTTCCATATCAATATTGAATTGTCTTAATACTTTAGAGAAAAGACCATCCTTTCCCCACTGCTCTGCAGGGCTACCTCAGTTATAAATCAAGTGTATACAAAATATGAGTATCTCTTTCAGGACCTTTTATTCTGTTTCACTGATCTATTTTTCTGTCACTGTGCCAATATTCTATTCTTTTTTTTTTTTTAATAGAGAGTGTGTGAGAGAGAGAGAGAAAGAGAATTTTTTAATATTTATTTGTTTTTAGTTTTTGGCGGGCACAACATCTTTGTTTGTATGTGGTGCTGAGGATTGAACTCGGGCTGCACGCATGCCAGGCGAGTGCGCTACCGCTTGAGCCACATCCCCAGCCCCTCTATTCTTTTTTTTAATATTTATTTTTTAGTTGTAGTTGGACACAATACCTTTATTTTATTTGTTTATTTTTAGGTAGTGCTAAGGATTGAACCCAGGGCCTTGCATGTGCTAGGCGAACGCTTTACCTCTGACCCACAACCCCAGCCCCCAATATTCTATTATTACAACCCCATAGAGAAAAATCTTTTTTTTTCTTAAAGATTATCGTTTTTGCTTATTCATAGTCCTACTATTTCCATATAAATATTTTTATTCATCTTCTTGTTATTTGATTTCTAACTTAATTGCATTGTGGTAAGAAAACATACTTTATGTGAGTTCAGTCCTTTCAAATTTAAGAGCTGTAAGTTTATCTCAGCATGTAGTCAAGTTTTATAAATGTTCTGTATCTTGAAGAGCGTGTATCTCCAAGATTTTTTTTTTCCATTTCAAAGATGTTCTATATGTTAGAAGAAAAATAAAAAGAAACTCAGATCACAAAATACAGAATTGTCTATAGGTCAAAGAGAAAATGTCAGAAATTTGCTAAACTGTCTTAAGAGCAAGATTCCTGACTATTCCCTTGCACAATAGTTCATGTAGTTAGAACTTCATAAATGTATGCTCATTTTTTAAAGATATCAAAGGCATGTAATTTAGTATTACTTGAAATATAATATTTTTTTCCTTTGTCTTGAGTGTACCATCTGTTGGACCAAGGAGACGATGTTGTAAAACATTAGAAATGCTTTTTTCAGGATCTGCCAGAGCATCTTTTGGAGATCGAAAGGTGGAACTTTCCAGTTCGGCTCAGCATGGGCCCAGCTATGATGTGTACAACCCTTTCTATATGTATCAGCACTTTTCACCTGATTTGAGTCGGCGTTTTCCTCCTCATTCAGAAGCAACAAGACTGTATGGATCAGGTATGAAATGTCTTTTGTGCTTTTCTTCTGTGTGTCTCCTTAGCAAATTTAGCAATCAAATTAAATCTGAGACCTGGATGATATGATTCTTATTATTAAAAATAATTTTTAAATAAGAGAAAAGCAGGCTTCACAAGTGTTATGATAGACAGCATGATTTCTCTCTGGTGTTATAACTAATTTAAAAACTGAAAGATTGATGTTTTGTGTCTATTGGTAGTTACAAATTTTAATTAATTTTTCCTTTTTGAAAGTTATTTTTAGATTATTTTTATTAATTTATGTACCTTCTATCCAAACTCTACAACAGATATTTACAAGTTTTTTCTTTTGTGTTCTAGTCAGAATGACGAGTTTAAAAATGTATGATGTAATTAGAAATATAAACAAAGAGAATAGAAATACTTAAATAACTATAAAATTTTTATAGTTTCATATTTGAAACTATTCCAATTATAGACTACTATGTGTGTTTCTAATTCATAAATCCCCATTGTTTTGTAGGATGATGATATATCTAGCTCTCTCTGCCACTAGATTCAGGGTGGGGTACTGAAAAAAAGAAAGAAAGATTTACTGAAGGGACTATTCCCCACCGTACTAGAATATAGCATAGGGTTGGTTTACCGAGTTCCTTTCTTCAAGGCCCTTTCAGGTTACGAAGGACACTAAAAAGACAGGAGCACATAAGATTCAGAATTGATTTTTTTTTTTAAATGTGATAAGTGCTCATTAAATAGTTGAAGTACATATAACACAAAGTACTTACATCCTATCCTCTTAGATAGTCTTCTCAGATTGAGGATTGGGAAACGTGAACAAAAATCCATTTTGATATGGATATGAAAATGTTTTGTTTGATTTCTATTTCAAACAAAATAAAATAATGAAAAATAAATGTTTTAGATCTCATCAAAAGGCTCATTTCTTATATAGATCTGCACATAATTTTCACAAAGTATTTCTATAGAGAGTTAGTTTATAATAATTAAGTAGAATTTCAGTGTTTCATTTTCCTTGTTATAAAAATAAGCACTTCTTTCTTTTCCCTGTGTAGTTTGTGACCTAAGGACCAGCAAACTTCCTGGTTCCCCTGGCCTAAGCAAATCTATGTTTGATCTTACAAGTTCATCTCAGAGATTCATCCAGGTAAAGTAGTTATATAATTTTTTTATATGTGATAATTATTTCAAATTAAAAATTCAGAAATACATGAATCAACATTAGAAATAACATGCTTTTTGTGGATATAGCTATTCTAATATTTGGACAATAAATACATTTCCCATATGCATTACTTTGGGAAGTTCCCAGTTGACTAATGAAAGACAGTATTTTTCTTTTGTTCTTTTTTTGTGTGAATTTTCTCTCAGTTGGTATGCACTTAAGGAATCTTGAGGCAGTTGGAATTTTAAATAGTATAATTAAAATACTTATCAACTTTCCTTATTGAAAGTTTTTATTAAAAATTAACATTCCTGGGCTGGGGATGTGGTTCAAGCAGTAGCGCGCTCGCCTGGCATGTGTGCGGCCCAGGTTCGATCCTCAGCACCACATACAAACAAAGATGTTGTGTCCGCCGAAAACTAAAAAATAAATATTAAAAATTAAAAAAAAATTAACATTCCTATAGGTGGAGAACTTTATTCACTTATATTAATACAGTATCCTATTTTGGAGTTACTTTGTTTTTGTATTTTGTGGTACTGAGGATTAAACCTAGGGTCTTATGCATGCTAGGCAGTCACTTTACCACTGAGCTATATCTTTGGCCCTTTTTAAAATTTTATTTTGAGGCAGGTTCTTGCTAGATTGTCCAGGTCAGCCTCAAACTTGCAATTCTCCTGGTAGCTGAAATTACGAGCATGTATGGCTAAAGCCAGGGAGAATTTTTTTGATACTTTGATGACTATTTAAAATTAGAAGATAGAGATAAGCAAAGTAGCATGACAAATTATCTGTATTCCTGTAAATGAAAGTAAAATCTGTGTAAATGTTTTTATATACACTTGTGGGCTCGTGTGTGTGTGTGTGTGTGTGTACATATATACACACATATATACTTATGGTTTATACAATGGAAATGTATTCTAAATCATCCTTAGTAATTCTCAATTTCTTGCAGAATTAATTCTTTATAGCAACAATTCTTGACCATGCATCAGAATTATTTGGAGAGCTTGTTAAAATACAGATTGCCATCCCTTGCTGCCCAGAATTTTTGATTCAGCAGCCCTATGGTGGAGCCTGAGTTTTTATTTCTACTAGAGAGACCATGGTTTAATATGCTGTTTTACAGGTTTTTAGGTAACTGGGCATTTCCAAACATATTCTAATTGTCATTAATGTTTCTTTATGGAATTTAAGAAATAATCTCTTTCTCTTTATTATAAAACCAAACCAAAACCAGCAGAGACATTATAGTATATTTTTTCATAAGATGTTTAAAATTTTCCTGATAACACACAGAGAAAACTTATTTTTCTCTTTAATTGTCTAAAAGTGGGAAATTCTGACTAGTAACATTGTCAAAATGCTTAGCATGCAGTTTGATGGGGCAGGTTTTGGGGCATAAGTATCAGAATCCTTACAGTTTGATATGCAATTTCTGACTAAAAGATTTTATTTGTAGAGACATGATTCGTTGTCTAGTGTACCCAGTAGTACATCTTCAAGAAAAAATTCTCAGGGGAGTAACAGAAGCCTGGGTAAGGAATATAATATTACATTTTTATACTCATTAGTAATTTGAAAGTGAACATGATCAGTAAAAAAAATTCTACATGATTATATCTATATTGACAGTATTATCTGTATATGGATACTCAGATCAGATGGTTATTTTTCAGTGTTTAGGCATGAATGAATCAGTTTTTAAAAAGTGAAACTATTAAACATCTTTGTACATTTGTTTTAAAGTAGATGAATGAAGAAAGTTCCAGAAGCATACCGTACTAAAGTCATATAAACATTATTTGAAATAGTTTGTTTAAGCTTTAACTTAAATTTTCCACACTGCAATTTGGGTAAAATTTTATATCTGGTAGTTATATGGTTTATTTCACCTCTTGTACTTTAATAAAACATAGAAGTATGATTTTTGCCTTACTAAATTGGAAACCTTAAAAAATAATTGTTGGCATTTTTCAGTTGTGCTCATAAAATTGAATTTAAAAGATTACATGAAATTTTGAAACATCTTTGTCTTTTGTTTACAATTCAGATACGATTACTCTCTCAGGAGATGAAAGAGATTTTGGCAGATTGAATGTGAAGTTGTTTTATAATTCTTCAGTGGAGCAGATCTGGATCACAGTTTTACAGGTAAATTAGTACAGTTAATACCAACTTTTATTTCAAAATTAAATATTTCTTTTTTTTTTTAATTTTTTATTATGGGTTCAAAACATTACAAATCAAAATTAAATATTTCGACACTTATCTGTTGTTGCCCTCTTCTGGGGAAAGAGGTAATAGTTAGTCTTTGGAATTTGGGGTTCTATAGTGTTTTTCAGGAATAGTATTTGATAAAGCATTTAAGAAGCAGGTATGGTGATGCATACCTGTAATTCAGTGACTTTGAGAGGATGAAGCAGGAAGATCACAAATTTGAGGTCTGTCCCAAAATAAAAAACAAAAAGGGTTGGAGATGAAGCTCAGTGGTAGAGTACCCAGGGTTCAATTTCCAGTACCAAAAAAAAGCATTTAAGAAAATAAAAATGTGTGTGATGAGTATATGTATTTTTTATGACTTTATTTATTTATGTGGTGCTAAGTATCGAACCCATTGCCTCCTGTGTTAGACAAGCGCTCTCCCACTGAGCCACAACCCCAGCCCTGTTTGTATGTTTTCAACTGCAAGAAGAAAACTGGTATATCTATATTTAATATCAAAATTATTTTAATGTGGATGAAACATGAAGTCTCAATATATACTGAAGTTTATTTAAAAATCTTGAAAATCATTATCCAAAGCCATTAACTCAACAAATACATCAAATATTTGTATTGTCAGAGTCCTTTGTAAAATTCCAACTATACTTTTAATTTTTTAGTGCAGAGATTTAAGTTGGCCTTCTAGTTATGGTGATACTCCCACTATTTCTGTAAAGGGAATACTAACGTTGCCCAAACCAGTGCATTTCAAGTCATCAGCAAAGGAAGCTTCTAATGTAAGTGACTGTTTATGTTTGAATTTCCTTTCTGTTTTTCTAATATTTATCACTTTTATCCATGTAAAGAATAAGAAAGTGTTTTACTTTTGGGAAACTAAAAATTATGTGTCCTTGCTTTTTTAAAGATAATTTTTAGTCTCAAAATGTTTTGATATTTTATTGTCTAATATTAAGATTCATTTAAAAAGAAAATTTTGATCACTAAAATATATAAATTAACAGTATCTAAAATATATATTTAAAAGGAAAATAAATGTGTATATTTTCATCTTTTCTTTTCCCTAACTGGGCTTTGAAAAATAATTGCACAATTGCAATTAATCACTTTTAAATACTTCCAGTTACTATAAATGGAGTAGTTTATGTTCCTGGCTTTTATAAATTCTTATTTCACATTAATTTAAATACATGCTCATTATATTTTTTGACATAGAAAACTTAGGGTTTTATATGCAAATGAAAAGAACATACCATTTAAAAATAAGAATTCAATTGACTAATAAGCAAAACATTACTGTTGCTATCAATCATAGAAATACAGATTTAAATTATATATTGATCTTTCTTTTTTTCTTATTAAAATAAGGAAATATTTTACAAGTATGCTACAACATACAATTTTCTAGAAATGATTTTGACAGTACACATCAAAACCTTATATATTTCTAGTAATTCTACTGGAATCTACTCCTTGGAAGTAATCTGAAATCCAAACAAAACTGTTTTATAAAATAGTCTTGGTGGTTTTTTTCATAGTGAAAAGTTAAAAATAATCTCAAAGCATCATAGAGGAATGATCGAAAAACCTGATGGTATACCCATTTAATTAATTTCTTCAGGCTGCTGTAAAAAAAAAAGTACCACAAACTGGATGGCTTTAAAACAATAAGAAACTTGGGACTAAGGATAGAGCTCAGTGATGGAGTGCTTGTATAGCATGTGTAAGGCTCTGGGTTCAACCCTTAGCATGGGTGGGGAGGGGGGAATAGAAGTCCAAAATCAAGGTGTCAGCAATGTTGGTTCCTTTTCTGAGGGGGAATCTTTTCCACTCTTCCTCCCAGATTCTGCTATGGCCAACAATCCTTGGCTTTCCTTATTTCTTGGCTTTGCCTCCATCTTCATATGGTGTTCTCTCTGTTTCTGTGTTTTCACATGGCCACGTACTTACAAAGATACCACTCATACTGGATTGGGGTCTACCCTATGCCCATATTACCTTATTTTAACTTTATGAATCATGTCTGCAATGAGATGTTTGCAAATGATGTCACATTCTGAGGTACTGGGAGTTAGAATTTCAACATATCTTTTTTGGGGATACAATACAATTCAACCCAGAACACTATGTGATAGAATACTAGGCAGCTGTGAAAAATTATGGATAGGAAGAGTTTTTAAGGACAGGGAAAAATGTCCTAAATTATTGAAAAAGGCAGTGATCAAAAATTGGTGTGTGTATGTATGTCACGATCTCACTTTATGAAAATATGCATCATAGAAAGTCTAGATGGAAATAAATCTTAACTCTGGGTATAATTCTATCACTCAAGGAAGAATACTTTCTGAATTAACAATTTTACTTTTTAAAAAATAAACTAAATTAATTTAGGAAAAGTTAGAGGGAAAAATGTTTGCATATTGGAACCTACCTACATAGGATCTTTCATTTTTAACATTTATTTTTATACAGCAGATTTTTGGGAGATCCCTAGTGTGGCAAAATGTGGAAACTATGAAGTAAATCTGCACAGACTTGCTTAATTTGTAAAGTTGTTTAACATTTTATGTGCAATGTATTGTCAGTGTGGTCCTGTGGCTTGAAAGTCTTAAAGAAAAAGTTCAGTAGTGGGAAAATTCTAGAAACATGATTCTGACTGTGCAGATGTAAGTGATTATAGTACGGGTGAAAATTTGGCCAAAATTTTTTTAGTGCAGAGTATCAAAAATATTTATGTTAGTTGCCCAGATATCTTGCCTTTTCAAAAGGATACACTAAAGATTGAAAAAAGGAAGTGTATGGAAAAAAACTGTCTAGTGTTTAGTCTCCTTTAAGAAATAATTCAAATATGTCCATGTGATAATTCAAGATTCTGGGCACTGAACATGCTCACATGTGAGATTCTTGAACTACTCTAACTGTTGAAGAATTGTGGTAAATAGTAGGAAAGATGTCCTAGATCCAAAGATTAAAAAACAGTTTAATTTGTTTTTTCCTTTATGGTGCTGGGGATCGAACCCAGGGCCTTGTGCATTCAAAGCAAGCACCTTACCAACTGAGCTATATCCCCAGCCCCTACAATTTAATTTTTAAAAAGGGAAAAAGCTATATTTTGGTGAGCTCAATGTTAATATTGACCTGAGTTCCTAGGTAATTAAAAAGATGATTTGTGAAGTTGAGGAAGGTAATATCCAGAATAAACTCCAGAAAAACAAGTTATGGCTCTTCTCATTTTCATTTACATTAAAAAAATTTTTTAATTATGTTGTTATATTATGTCATATATGAATATGTAACAATAAATCCCATCAGTATGTACAAATATAATGCACCAATAAAGTAGGAAAAATATTTTTACTGTTGTAAAAAAAATTAAATGTAGTTTTTCTAGATATAAAGGTAAAATATCATTTTGTAATAGTATATCAAACTTTTTTCAACCCTTTATATATTTTATTGTTTTTTAAGGTTATTGAATTTTTGGAAACTTTTGTATTTGCTATTAAACTACAAAATCTACAAACTGTAAGACTTGTATTCAAGATTCAAACCCAAACTCCCAGGAAGAAAACCATTGGAGAATGTTCTGTGTCGCTTAGAACTCTCAGCACACAGGAAATGGATTACTCTTTGGATATAATACCACCTTCAAAATTTTCTGTAAGTGATAATAATATGCAGTGTTAAAAATATTTTGTACTTTTAGAATGGCTTAGTGGATAGTGTTTTGTTAGTGGAGGATAACTTGAATACTTTACTAATTATGGAATCAGGAAAAGTCTCAAGAAGTAATATCGTTTCAAAAATTGATGAAAGGTCAACATAACTGTTTCTCTATTTTAAAATAACGTTGGATTACCTTCTCCTAGCACAATATTTATTAATGTTTCATCAGGTATAGTAATCCTGAAACATGAAAAACTTTAATACATTTTAAAAAGTTTTTCTAGTTGCTGATGACTTGGGAAAAACAACAAAGGATCATAAGGTCAAAGTCCAAATTCAATCTGAGATTGCCCTGAAATAGATTAGGGAAGTTGTTTTAATCCTGGGTAAACTGTATATCTGTTCATAAATAGGTTAGAATGGAAGTTGGGTTTTGATTTTTTGGTGTTTAGAATGGAACCCAGGACCTCATGCATGATGAGCACCTACTGTACCACTGAGCTACATTCCCAGCCCAGATTTTTTTTTTTTTCAAGCTTGCTTACCTATAGTGCTTGATTGATTTCTGAGACCTGATGTTTACTTCTCTCAAGTGGCCAGCTGAACATTGTCTTTATTCAGAGATTCCTAATAATTTAATTATGTAGTTTCTGTGTCAGGATAGAGAACAGTCTTGAGTTTTATAAGGTCAAATCTATAGGTGATTTTAAACTTATTTAGGACTTACATTTTACCTACTTCCAAAAATATTTAAGATTACTTGAAGTGCTTTTTAACCCTTTCTGTACATTATAATTACCTGGCAAATTTAAGTCAATAAAATTTCTTGAGGGTTGGAACAGAAGCATTTGTAGTTTTCAAAAGTTCCCCAAGTGATTCTAATGTGTAGCCTTGCAAATCACCAAATTGTAGGGGAAATTAGAAATTAAAACATAAGAAACAAAGGTTACTGTAATTAATCAGAAGAATTGAAATTTCTGATATCTTTTTCCCTGTTAATTTTAATCCCCAATGTTTTCTTTATGGCATTTATTATGTCATATCATTATTTAAGTTACTTAATTTTAAATAAAACAAAACAAGTCTCAAGTTTCTGTTTTCTTCATATTTTACTGTGCTGTTAACTAAGATCCTACCATATTGTTGGTACTGTATATTTGTATGTAGGCAGGTATGAAAAAATAAATGATGAATGAAAGCATACCAAATGAGATTACTGTCCTTTTCTGTTAAAACATAGCAGCTGTGACAGGAGTTTGTCACTGGCAGAGTTGACAATAGCTTAGTAGACAGTAATCTGCAACCATCTTTTACAGAAGATACAAAAACACTAATCAAATTATTCATACATTAAAACTCTAAAGACAGAATACATCAAAAGATAAGTCAGTGAAGGTATTTTCTGGGAAACTGAGATACTATATGCCTGGAGAATTTGAATGAATGATTATGACTGGATTTCTAATAAATTATATTTCATATGTTAGAAGTCTTATAAACACTTGGTTTCTACTGGATGTCACGTGCTAGGTATATAAAGATTGATGTCTTGAAATAAGAGCATTTGTGTTATTCAGGACCAATGAATTTATGTTACCAAGTACTGATGTTTCATATTATTGGCTAAGATAAGAATAGTATTGTGCTTTGTTTTATGTTCTGAAGAGGAAAATAGATATTGTAATTATGCCATTGAAAGAACCAGACTTGTCTACCCACTATCCACATTGATAACTGTTGCACCATGAATAGCATTGCTTTGTATAAAGCTAATGTTTTTTTTCCAGGAGAGTTCCTGACCTTGGCCGATACTAATGTATTTACTTGACCTCAAATTTCAGTATTGAATAAGATAGAAGAGATAAAATTTGCCTGAAGAAGTAGTTGACCTTTATAGAGATTTACCTTATGGCTGACTCGTTGCTAAGTAATCTACTGTTCATACCGCTCTTCTGAGCCTGTGCACTCCTTTTCCTATGTGGAGATCAGTGAAGCCATTTGCACAGCCAGTAAATAGTCAAGGAATTCAGATTTGATTCCAGAGCTAACCCTCTGAACTCTTCCATGTATGTTCCCTTTGAAGACATTTTCAAACATCATCAGTTTATGATTCTTCCTGATTATGGTTGGCATCTCATTTTTTTAATGGTTCCGGGAAGGCTAATAAATTTTTCTTTAAAAATTGGTTCATTATTCGGGAGCAAATATCATACCTTCTACAGTTTTATGCTTATTAAATATAGTCAGTACACACCAACTAATTGATTTGTATTTTAATTTTTGGTTATTATGAGATTGAAAATTATTTTGAATACTTTCTCATGATCTGAATTAATGTCCTGGAATATAAATTGAATTTGTGAGATAACCTTGGCAAGTAGGAAATAGCAAACCCATTGCCAAATGCTACTGTTTATGAGAATTAACTCTACAATTGTGTAACAATAAGAGAAGTTTTGCCACCTTTAGCTGTTTTTATAAGTGTTACTTAATTATGGGTGCAAAACCATAATGAAAAAAGAATTGATGAAAAAAGTTTAATCATGGTTATCTTTGTGTTTTGTAAACAATAAATGATTATAGTTTTTTAATGTATTAATTTAAATGCCAAGGGCAGAAACAACTTTTTTTTAATCAACAAAGACTTTATTTTATATACGGCTATCCAGTTAGTTATGCAAAAAGAGTTGTTAATCAGTTCTCACTTAGAGTAAACATGAAAAGCAATAAATTCGCTTATTTAAAAAGTCAGCATTGTTGCCAGATTGAATAGTTTTATTCTCATTTTAGAGTTTTTTGAGAGAAATTAACCTGAACTCAAGTTTCTACTTTTTAAACAATTCACTTTTTACTCTCTTTCTTGATTTCTCATGGCATGACAGTTATAAAACACAACATCATGTTTTAAGAAAAGACCCAAGCTTGAGGTGATGTCATGTGCGTAGAAAGGTTTTTTTGTTCCCCCCTCAATGAGTGATTAAGGAATACTGGACAGTTACCAAATATGTAAACCTTTTTGTCAAGTATCATTCAACTGTTCTGTAACTTTACTGGAATCACTTCTAGTAAGTCTGTAAATGTTGTATTCTTATTCCCATTCTTGTTCTTTTCAATACATGAACAGTGATCTTTTTGAGTCTGGACAACTTCATGTTTCTCTTTTACTTTTCACTCCAAGTACCTTGGAATCCAGATGAGTAGGATTTGTGTTGTATTTCACAGACAAATCACCAGCTTTCTTTTCCTGTTGGTAAGCAGTACTGACGAGCATATTTTAATCCACCTCCCCACCTGTTGTTTTCATCTTAAAGTTTGCCTCAGTTTTTTTTTTTTAAAAACCTTTTCCTTATTATATACAGCCTTATCACTGATTAGCTTCCTTCTTGCCAGCTTCCTTTGGCTTGTTTCCATTCAGGATAGATATGCAACTCTGGATCCATAAATCTGTTTATTACATCAATCCTTTGTCTTCTGATTTTTATAGCATCTACTCTGAATTCTAAAATTAGGAAACTCAATTGACTACATTTAATTATTTTAAAAGTGCATTCCTTCCTGTTGGTTTATTTCACTGGCAGTTTTTCTGTTAATATTGCCTAGGAATTTAATTTGTTTTTAAGTTGAATTGTCTTTTAGTATTACTGATATTGAAATCCAGTATATAGGTATACAGACTTTCAGAATTGATGCAAATGAATGCCTTATATTTACAGAATCTATGACATTTATCTTCTTATCTTATAACTAATGGCTTTGAGCGTCAATAGAAAGCAAAGCTTTCAAAAACTGTAACTATTTTTGAAATATTTCCAAACTTTATTATTGAATACTGAATGATACTTTTTGATATACAGGTTTGCCATGCAGAACTTGAATTGGGGACTTGTTTTCAAGCAGTAAATAGCAGGATTCAGCTTCAAATTCTTGAGGCACAGTATCTTCCAAGCTCATCAACACCTCTGACTTTAAGTAAGTGTATCGGTGTTCAAAGTACATCAAATGCAGAGAGATTACAATTCAATAAGAATGAAGAGACCAGTAGAGTGATGTCTTTCCTTTGCTGGATGCACAATCAGGACTTGTGATACTTTCATTGGCTAGGCCTAGTAACTTGGCCACCCCTAGAACTGAAGGTTTGAGGTCAGCCCTATCTCCCAGGCTAAGAGGAAGGTAGAATTGATCCTTTTTAGCATGAAAGAAGGGAATTAACTATCTGGGAGCAAGCAAAGCAATAAATGTCCACTGTAACAATGAATGTCCACTGTAGAAAGGATAAAAATAAATGAAACTGAACATTCAGTTCAAGAAGCTACAAAAACAAAAAATTCAAGGAAAGAAGTAAGCTGAGGTTGAAGTTATAAAATGTAGAGACAACAGCAGATAACACAATCAATAAAACTAAACTTTTTTTCTTTGAAAGGACCATTAAAACAGGCAAATCTGTAGCAGGTTGGATAAAGCAGAAAAATAGACAAAACATGAATGATATTCTGAATCAAGAAAAGGATTTTTAAATTCAGAAGAGATTTGGTTATATATAAGGCAATACCAGGTGTAACAATACTAATTCATTTGTACATCTATATGAAATAAATGTCTTTCTAAGAAATTTACTCAAGAGGAAGAAATCTAAAAAGAATAGCCATGAAAAGGGAGAGAACTCTCTCTCATAAAAAGCACTAAGCTAAGATTATTTTACTGACAGATTTTACCAAACTTTCAAGGAACATCTGATTCCTTTTTTATATAAGCTATTCTAAAGCAAGAAAAAAAGATGGAAAAATAATTTTGTTAGCATATTCTTGATATCAAAACAGATTAGATAGCACATACATAAAATTAACTCTACACTAACATCACCTATGTAGATAGATAGAAAAATCCTAAAATAAAAGTAAGCAAATAGAGGGAAGGGAAGAATAGAAGTTTATTGAATTAGACAGAGGAATGAAAGGAAGGGGGAGGTGGGAATAGGAAAGACAGTAGAATGAATCAGACATAACTTTCCTATGTTCATACATGAATACATGATCAGTGTAACCCCACATCACATATAACCACAAGAATAGAATCCTAATTAGAATAAGCTATATTCCATATATGTATAATATGTCAAAATATACTCTGCTGTCATGTGTATCTAAAAAGAACAAATTTTTTAAAAAGTAAGCAAATAAAGTCCATCTTGGAATAGTGAGTCATAAGGACAACAGTGGAAATTTACAAATATAATATATTACATTAACAGGTGAACTCCCTAGATTAAAACTAATGATCTGTATTTTATAAATTTAATGCTCAGGTCTCTTGGTCCTCACTCTGAGACTCCCTTCCTGGGAGTTCCCTCATCCCCTTCTTGTTACCCTGCAATCCCAGCTCTATTATCTGATAACATGGCACATTCTGCTCTAGCCGTAAGCATGCTGTGCCAGTCAGACTAGGGCATATGCTGAGGTGAAAAGCTATATATAGTAAACCTGAATTTTAGTGCAGTTCCCATCTTTGAAAAGTTTCTTTCCTTCAGTTTTTTCCTGATTTTAATCAATGTTTATTTTTAATATTTCCCCAAAATTTGTAATTATAATCTATGGGAAACTTATTAGTTCATAAAAACTATTTTACCATTGTTGGAAGCTCTACATCTCAAACTTATTTAAAGAATAGATTGTTTTCTAGTGGGCATATGCTTTTGGAGTCTCAAGCAAAAAAATTTACCTATATAAAATTGTGAAATACATACCTCATCTGTCCAAAGAGTTGGTACCTCTCTTTTGTGTAATCCTTTTCAGTGTATACACCTTTGCTCCTCATTGTTATTTATGCCTATGATTCTACTTGTAAATGTCATTCAGAATGAAGATTAAATTTGTTTGAAGTTATAGTAGTTACTTGTAAAATGCAGTAAAGATTATAAAGTTACCAGAGATGTTTTCTTTTATCAAATAGTAGTAGCTCATTGAATATTTTTAAAATAGCTTATTTATATATTTACATTAAACATAATATATATCTTTATGTAGTATTTAATTAGAATTTGTTTCGTAGGTTTTTTTGTGAAGGTGGGAATGTTTAGCTCAGGAGAGTTGATTTATAAGAAGAAAACACGCTTACTGAAGGCCTCCAATGGAAGAGTAAAGTGGGGAGAGACTATGATTTTTCCACTTATACAGAATGAAAAGGAAATTGTTTTTCTCATTAAGCTTTATAGTCGAAGCTCTGTAAGAAGAAAACACTTTGTGGGCCAGGTTAGTAGGGGGATTTTATCTTTAATTTCTTCTGTGTATTTTTCTATGCATTTAAAGAGTGGTTAACAAAAGGAATATGGGATTAAACTAAAGTTAAATAGTGTAAGATTTCTTAGTATAAATTACAATTCAGTGTTGACACAAAAATCAAATCTCATCAGACTTATTTCTTTAATATAAGTAGTTGGAATTTCTGAGCAATCAGGCTTATCTTTAAGCCTTTTTCTCAGCTTTTCAACTTTAAAAACTAAGATCAGTTTTTTAACAAGAGAACTTCTTAATTATATTAGATTTGAATTCCTAGAAAACAATTTTAATGATGGTGGAGATATTTAGATAGTCAATACTAGTGTCTGGATTGTCTATTTTAAAATTCTTAGTAATCTGTATAGGACAATATAATACTGGCTTACTTGCCAACAATACAGGAACTTGTTTCCATTTATATTTTTTTTCCTTATTCTGAATGGATTAATGGTAGTTTTCTTTTTTTTTTACAATTATTTGAGCCACATTTAAATTACTGGTCTAAAAGCTTCCACTTCATAGTAAACTGTTATTAGTAGTGTATGTGTAGTCCTCAAATTATAAATATGATTTTTTAAAGATTGATATTAACTTTTTGACTCACTTTTTTATTTAATTTACCTAAAATGTTTATTTAAATGTAGTTTTGTTTCTGCATTTATTTGGAAAATAGCTTGAATTTGAAAATTTGTATAACTATATACTTTTGATAGCTGTGAGTCCTATGAAGTCAATTTAGTTAAAAGTTTTTCTGGGGCTGGGGATGTGGCTCAAGCGGTAGCATGCTCGCCTGGCATGCGCGAGGCGCTGGGTTCGATCCTCAGCACCACATAAAAATAAAAAATAAAGATGTTGTGTCCACCGAAAACTAAAAAATAAATATTAAAAAAATCCTCTCTCTCTCTCTCTAAAAAAAAAAAAAAGTTTTTCTGTATCATCAAACCTTAGCTATCATGTATGAATGGAATAGGATTCCGGAATGTTTTTGCTGGTTGTCTGCCTCCAACGGACTCTTGAGTGGCATTAGGTGTCACCATAATGGGATAAACAAATGCAGACTCAAGTTCTCCCACTCCTGTTTACCAACCAAAGCACTCTGATGTTACCTGTTTTATATGTTGGGGTTCTTTGAAAGATATTATTTGAAGGAAATTTTTTTCAGACCAAGAAAGAAAAGGAAAAATATTTGAAAATCAGTGAGTGATCTGCTCCAATCTCTTTACTCAGAGAAGTTAATTCCAAGGTTATAGCATTTGTTAGTGCTAGAGCCACGGTACAGATTTTAGATTCCTTGTCCACCTTGTCTTCATGATATAGCCATCGTGGTGTCTTAAATTTACATAATACTATATAACTTTCCCAGGTTTATTCACATACATAACCTAAACCCCATAATCGATAGACACTATGAAATTACTCTGGATCAAGAATGACTATTTATTAAATTTCAATTAAGTTTACAATTGTATTGAATAAAAAAGGTTTTTAAAAATACACATTCCTTATTAATTGAAATCATGATTAGCCTCAGTTTAATTCATCTTTATAAAGTTGTTTTTGAGTGATCAGGATCAATTTTAAGTTGAGCTCCTAGATTAATTGAGTAAGAAAGGAAAGTTGGAACTATTTGCGGGGAAATGATTTTACAAAACTCTCACCTTGAATTTTTTTTTAAATATTTATTTTTTAGTTGTAGTTGGACACAATACATTTATTTATTTATTTTTATGTAGTGCTAAGGATCAAACCCAGGCCTCACACATACTAGGCAAGTGCTCTACTACTGAGCCCCAGCCCCATCACCTTGAATTTTTAAATTGATTTAGTTTATATGAAATAGTCTTCAGAATGACTAAACAGTTTAAATGTTTTAGAATTTAAGTCTCAAACAGATAAATTAAATTTACTTTTGGGAAAATGGAAAGTTGTTTACTTCTAAATATGTAAACCAGACTTCAAATATTTTTATCAATAAGAGTAATAAACTGTTTTAACTCACTTGTCGTAATTGTGTCAAGTTAAATGATTGTACTGTTCCTTTACAGATTTGGATAAGTGAAGACAGTAATAGCACTGAAGCAGTGAACCAATGGAAAGAAACAATTGCAAATCCAGAAAAGGTTGTTACCAAGTGGCACAAGTTAAATCCATCCTGAAGACTTCACATATTAATTTGGTGAAGAAACAACTTGACATTCTTTTAGAAGACTTAGAATTTTAATTTGCTAAAAATTATAATAAATTTTATCAAATATCCAAAGTGAAGGAAATGCTTTAAAACAGTGCCAGAAGAGACAAAATAAAAGCGTAGTATTATTATGGCAGTTAAATGACTTATAAAGTCTATGAGAACATAAGCCATACATAGGAATTTATGTATTATGTTTTTTGCTTTTGTTTTTTAAGTTTTACCTAGATATTTAAAACCTACTATAACAAGCCCTGTTAGTACTACTAGACATTTAGATGACTATACCTTTGTTCCAGTGCTAGGCATTGTTGATTACATTTTTGTTCCACTGTTTACCTCTTCCTATATATTTTCTCTCAGCAAAAATGAATTGAACCATTTCAGTTGTTTTCTATATTTGGGGGAAGATAGTGCCCTGTGTTTATAATTTATTACCTATAAGGCATTACATTGCTATTTTGTAAACTACTTACTTCCAAGAAACTTCAGAAATAGAAAGTACATTTAGACTAGGATAAACAAAAACACCAAAAGATTGAAGTTTAATTGGAGGCCCAAAATTATACATATTTTGCTGTTTCTCACCATTAGATACTTTTGTCTTTGTTTTATTTGGAGTTAAAATAAGGTTATCATCCATATGGCCCATCCTAACTAGCAGAATGAATAAGTTTTAAATAGTAAATATTTTATGATAATCACTTCCTTGCTTTTAGTTTTTTAAGTACAAATTACTTGTTCTGTAATCTATAATGTTAGAGTATTTTGTCATGTTTTTTATAACTATACCTGATAACATTATAGACTCCAACGGAGTCTAAAATTTTCTATTGCAGGTTTCTTTCAGTTGCTTATTAGAACTCAGTATAAGGGGATAATTTCAGCATAGTTGTCCATATGAACTATGGCCAAAAGCAACAGCTTTTTGGAGAAACAAATAACCCTACTCCTAATTTAGCAAAATATGATTTTATTTTTGCTAGTAAGTAGACTATGTGCTCTGTGTTCTTTGTCTTCCATTTTTCTTTCTTTGTTCCAAACATGTCAAGAGATAGATGGTGATATTTTAGGCCAGAGGTATACCTTTCCATAACCTAAACATTCCCTTTTCATTCTAATTCCTGTGTTCTATGTATCTTATTAAAATTTCCCCAAATAAACACCTCGTTCTCTTGCCTAGATATTATCTCCACAAGCTGCAAAATGTATCAAGTTTATATGCCCTTTGCTTCTGTCCGGATTTTATGGTTCCAGTGGTGTGATAAGTATTCTCTGCCACTGTACATTTTGAAATAAAAATTTTAGATTTGTGAAAAATGGTATTTTAGATAGTACTCACGTTGACTTCTGGAAGAAATTACCCTGCGTGGTAGTATTTTGAATCTTTGAGACAAATGCAGCTAATTTTGATTTTGTCATTTGTTTGTTTTTTTTTTTTTTTTTGATAGGCTATTTTTAGAGTGGTTTTAGGTTCATAGCAAAATTGAAAAAAGAGGTACAGAGGTTTCCTATACAACCCTCTCCAGTACACAGACATACACAGATGAGGTACAACCTCTTTACCCTGTCAGCATCCTGCACCAGAATAATACATTCGTTGCAACTGATAAACTTACATTCATACCATTATCACCTAAAATCTATAATTTACATTAGGACTTCCTCCTGGTGTTTTACGTTTTGTAAATTTTAACAAGTGTATAATGACATGTATCATTAGAATCTTTTCAGAGTGGTTTCATTGCCCTAAAAATCCTCTGCAATGCAATATTTTAATAGCTATCAAAGAAATAAATGTGTTTATTGGCTTTTAGATAATAAATAACAGACTTTCTTGCTTTTAAAAAAAACTAGAATTTTATTTTAGCAATTTTCTGTGTTTTTAATTCCTAAATTTAATATATGTAGTCATGTACTTAACTCAATTTTTAATTATTTAATTGGTAGTATTTAAATATATGTATAATATATGATTTGAGGGAAAAATATGGTTTCTTGGTTTCTTAGGATCCCAAATAAATCATAAAAAGAAAACTTCATTTAAACAAACTTTCAGATAGGAAAGTATTGGTAGAACTAAGACCTCAGATATTCTAATTGGTATTAACTTAAACCTTCCAAAGGTGAAGAGATATTGAATATAGCTGAAATGCTCATTTGATTTCTTGAAGCTTTATGTAGAAATATAAACAGAAACATGCTCTTTCTTAAAAATTTAACCTTTTTAAATTTTGTATTTATTTGTTTATTATGTGGTGCTAAGGATTGAACCCAGTATCTCAGGCAAGTGCTCTACCACTGAGCTACAACTCCAGCCTAGAAATACCGTCTTTCTGTTAACAGCCTCTCATATTGTGAGAAAAACAATAGGAACTGGTAACAAAAAATGAGATACTGTGGAAAAATCACTTCCCTTTCTTTGCATTTGCTTAGGCTTTTCTTGACCTTTACCCAGCTATAATAAGGAAAAGGAAACCAAAATGATTCTGGGTGATCAAAGGGAACCATGGAAGGATTCATGTTGATAACTGATAATTTAAATGATATAACCCCTAAAATAGTATTTATTTATAAACTTTCACATTGACACAGTTAAGTAACTACAGCCCATGCATGTCAAAATATAGCATCAATACTTGACTTTTAGTTTTGATGATTTTTTAAGCAGAACTTATTGAAAAATGACCAAGAAAGTATGTCAGTTCAAACTCTTAATCAGACTGTTAAGAAACCTGTGGGATTTTGAACATATGTAATTGGTCTGAAAATAACCTAAAGTGAAGTTCTGTTTGAATGTAGTTACATGAATTTTTTGATACCAATGTACTACACAGCCTAGTGAAAACACTTTCCTACCAAAAATTTTCATTGTTTGTTTAATTAAATATTTGCTTATTTATGAAGGATTTTCAATTTTTCATTAAATTTTAACTTTTCGTACCATGGGAATAAGGGGTATTGCACTCAGAAGCACCTAACTACTGAGCCATGTCCCCAGCCCTTTTTATATTTTATTTAGAGCAGGGTCTCACTGAGGCTGACTTTAAACTTGCAATCCTCCTTCCTTAGCTTCCTGAGCTGCTGGGATGACAGGCATGTGCCACTGTGCCCAGCTCAGGAATGGGTATTTCAAAATTATACATCTTTATTAGATATTTGAACTTTTGTTTGGTGTTTCTTCAGGTATACTAAGAAAGGTGCCAGATAAAATATCTGTGTATCTAGTGGTTTTTGAGGAGATTTTCTGATGTTCTTGTTGTATAAATGTAATTCTTGTTAAGAATTAAAATTTCAAATTCTTTCATTTCTAGGTTAAGCGCTTAGTTGTGAAAGAATTATGAAAAAAGGGCCCATGTAAAATACCATCTCCATTTTGAAATAAAGATAGATATTAAGGGAGTTAATGTAGCCCTCAAAAACTATATTTTATTTTTTAAGTGGCAACTTCTCTGAAGATAAATCCTGCCTATATTTTTAGTAATTTCTTTATAGAAAAAAATTTAGCTTGTTTTCCTGATTTTACAATTTTTTCGATTTCTAAAAAGAAACATCTTTAAAAACATTGATCACAGTCTACATTAAATCATAGGATTCTGACAATGGCAGTAGGTATCTAAAAAGGAAGTTTTATATTATATGTCTTCTTGGATGGCAAGAAGGTTGCCAGTTCCATTCTGAGCTAAATCACTGAAGGAGATATGTCTTTAAATGATGGTGATATTTGTTCTGTATTGTTTTTCATATTCTTATCCTGTGGAATTTGTTTCTGGGTCATCCATCATCCTTTAGTTTCTGGGGGAAGAAAATAGATAAAAAATGTCTGCTCTTTATGGTAAGGCTGGATTTATTTTAGCAGAAATAAATTTGACTGGCTGTGGCTCTAAATTGACATTCAGTTTGATATCTGAGTCTTTACTCTTTATTGATTACATAGTATATGGAGTCTTGATCACGAAACAACTACATTTTTAATGAGCAATAAGCTATTTTGTATAATATATAAATATTAAATAATAAATGCTATAAGCCATCATTGTTTATTTTGAGATTTTTATTTTAGTGGGGGAAATTAAACTATACAAAGCTGTGTTATAGTATAAAATAGGATTTGAGGCATGGATAAAATGCTTTGGAGGCTCAAATAAAGTAAGAATTAAATGTAGCTTAAGGAATCAGGAAAAATTTGTTAAATCCCTGACCTGAAACACACAAAACAAGCAGATTGGTAGCACTATTATTCTTGATCACTGACCTTACCTACCTAACAATCTTACTTCATTTCTTTTGTCAACTGACTCACTGAAAAAAAAAAAAAAATTCTTAACTTCCTTCCACTTACTATCCTCTAACCTACCTGCTTTTTTCTTTACTCTTAATAGAAGATCCTCATCTGTCACTGGGACTACAGGCATGTGCCACCCACCCGGATCAAAAATCTTATTTCTTGATGTCAAAGAAAATAACATTGAATTCCTTCAGTTACCTACTGCCTTATTTATAAGTTTTTTACCCATATCCGACTTCTTCCTCTTCTTCTTCTTATGTTAAAAAGCAATTCCTTCCTTGTAAATTCTGAATCCAATCATTTTGGCCTTTTTTGAACACTGATTCCATTTATTAAACACATGTTCTATTCTCTGAGCCTTTGTTGCTGGATTCTTTGTATCATTATTCAAACCCTGGTGCATGATTATCTCAAAATTGCTTGTTGATATGTTTGATGGAAAGGACCCTATAGACCTAATATTGGTGGTTAGATTACTATATTGACAAAGGAAACTGGAAATTTGCAATTGACTAAATGTTTATGTTTTCCCACCCCAAATTCATATGTTGAAATCCTGACACCCCCCCCCCAAGATGATGGTATTAGATCATTTGGGTGGAGCCCTCACAAATGGGATTAGTACCCTTATTACAAGAGAGCTGAAAGTGATCCCTTGCCCCTCTGTCAGGCTGTGAGGAAGCAGCCTCCACCAGTCTGTGAGAACCTCGATGTTAAAATTCCAGCCTCCGAAATTGGGAGGAATAAATGTTTGTTGTTAACGAGCTACTCCATTTATGTTATTTTGTTAGATCAGCTCATATTAAGACAAAAACATTACATAAAGCAGGAAATGGTGTATCATGTCTTTCTAAGACTCCAGAGTTCCCTATGTATAGCCAGTGAAGATTCCTCCTAATAGCAGAAACTCATTTTTTATTCTCAAAGGAATTTTTATTCGTCCTTCACTTTCCTACCACCTAGCTACTCCCGTGTCTACTTGTTCAATAAGTGTTACTGGTAGAAAATAGTCTCAACAAATCCTGAGTAATTACTGAGAATTTTAGTGTAATTAACTCTATGAATAAGAGGGTTGGTTTCTAAGCATGGCATCTATTAGGGCTCTTAGGTTTCAGGCTTCTTTGTGATGTATTTCTTTCTTTTAAAAAATTATTGAATGGTCTACCCTGATCTATATTTTGGTTCATCCCATAGATAACTTCTAACTGCTCTGTCCCCAGCCTGTCTCTTCAGTCTTCTGTCCTGGCCACTCCACTAAAACTCATGAAGTCTTAACAAATGCCCTAGCTATTTTTCTTTATTACTCCTCAGCTTTCTGAACAATAGATCTCTCCTGCCTTGAAACTATCTCTTCCCTTAACTTTCACATCATTATGCTCTGCTTATTTTCTTAGCACCTAACTCATCCTTCTCTATCGGCTCATTTTCAAGAACGACCTTTGAAAACTGGAAGTGCTTTAGGACTTATCCCTAGGCCATCTTCTCACTGTAAATTCTCTCTGGTCAACCTTATTCATTTTCATGACTTCAAATGCTATCTGTTGGCCAAAGGCAGTCAAATTTTTATCTCTACCCAAATTTGGTGGGAATTCCACTGTCATATAGCTAATGTGAACATCTTTTCTTGAACGTGTTCTAAGCCAAACTTTTTATTCACATTCCTTCACAAAATTGGTCTTCTCTTTTCCCCTTCTAAGTAAAAGGTACTATCATGTACCTGGTTGGTCATCCCAGAATCCTAAGAGTCACCTTATCAGTGAAAAAAAACTGTATTCTTGCAATACTTCTGACACTAAATGTGTGGTTTTCCCACACCAAGGAATTTTTCACTTCTCTGTGGATACCAACTGGGTGTCCTATAATTTAGCTCAATTGTGACATTACCCAGAATTACCATAGACACCACAGGTTAAGGATTTGTTTTCATCAGAATCAGCCTACTTCATGTGCTAATCACAAATGGTGGGTCCACTGGTTACCTACCACGTATATCTAACTTGGCTACCAATTGCAGCTTCCTATGATCCCTCCTTAGGTTTGATAATTGTTTGAATGGTTCACAGAACTCAGAGAAATGCTTTACATGCCAGTTTATTTTAAAGGGTCTGACTCAGGAATAGTCATAGAAGAGATGCATGGGGCAAGATATATGGTAAGAATGTGGAATTTATTTGCCTCTTCTGGGAGCACCACCCTCCTAACACCTCACGGTTAACACCAACTCAGAAGTTCCCTGAACCCTCCCAGGCTTTTGTGAAAACTTCATTATGTAGAAATGATTGATTAGTAATTGGCAATTGGTGATTGAACTCAATCTGTAGTCCTGCTCCTCTCCCCAGAAGTCAGGAGGTGAACCTGGAAGTACCAAACCTCTAAGTTGTGGTTAATTTCCCTGGCAACCAGCCCCAATCTCTAGACACCTTCTAAAAGTCACTTCATTAGGGAGATTGAGAATAGTGAGTTGGAGGAAGGATTCATATTCAGTTGCTCCATGGCTTGGGATTCACGCAGTGGGAGTACAGCTTCTCAGCGAGGTGGGTGAAAGAATTCACTGACATTCAATATTGGGTAGTCAGAGCATAGAACAAAGAACAAGAATACACTTGAGCCCAGACAGTAGCAGCCACAGCAGTGGCACTGCTTCACCACAGAGGGAAACCACCACAGAGAAACAACAGACAAGTTTGGCCTGAGAAAACCTGTAGAACAGAAAAGCAACCTGAACTTAGCAGACCCAGAGGCTGCACAACAAACTGGTGCTTGGAAAGTGTTCTCTTTTTCAACTGGTAAACACAGAGCTGAGGTGGGAGCCATTTTGAGGAGGCCACATTGTGGCTTGTTGCTGTCATAGCTCAGGAGATTGCCACACTGTCCCAGAGAGCTCCTATTGTGTGGCCTAGAGTTTACCCAACAGAATGTGAGTGAAATGGGCACAAAGAAGATAGTACCCAAGGGGACTGAAATCAGAAATATGGAGGGGAGTGCAACTTGCTTTTCCCACTAAAAATTTATAGGGACAGATTCTGGCGGCTCGTGTGACCAGGGTCAAAAAACTGAACAGACAAGTGTGAATACACTCAGGGACTAAACCTGGAAGGCAATATTCTTGGGCAGTGGCATGTGTGAAACCTGTTGGGGGTTGGTTCCCCTGCCCCAGTGAGTAAAATTCCTAGGAGTCTCCTGAGATCTAGACTCCCAGCTGAGATTGGCACTCTAGGAGTATGTCCATCTAATGCCTCCAGAACTGATACTGCCCACCAAAGCCCCTAAGGCTTGATTAGACCTAAGCCCTAGTCACTGAACTTCCCTCTTCAACCCTGCAGCAGCGCCACTCTGGGAGTGCATTGTCAAAACTCCAATTGAAGTTAGTTCCCTTCCTTCTACCTTAAACTGGTGAGAAGGGAAGCAAAGAGCTATTTCATTTTTTTTCTTTTTAATATTTATTTTTTATTTGTACACAATACATTTATTTTGTTTATTTATTTTTATGTGGTGTTGAGGATTGAATCCAGGACCTTGCACATGCTAAGAGAGCGCTCTACCGCTGAGCCACAACCCCAGCCGCCACCCCCACCAACCCTGCAGAGAGCTATTTCCACCAGTTTTAGTTTTAGGCCACTACAGCCATCAGCTCAGTGAGCAACAGAAAAAGAGGAGGAAATTAGCACCCCTCAGCCCTTGTTTTCTGTCTCTTGGTACATAGCCCAAGAAAAAATGGAAAGAAGGAAGTTGGGCAGAAGCAGTGACTATCCATCCTTGTTGACAGATTTGACCACCTCAGTGGAGATAGTTCTTTAATTTTTTCATTAAGAATCTTTGTTCATAGCTAGGCGTGGTGACACATGCCTGTAATCATAGCAGTCTGGGAGGCTAAGGCAGGAGGATTGCAGATTCAAAGCCAGCCTCAGCAATTTAGAGAGGCTATAAGCAATGTAGTGAGAACCTGTCTCAAAATTTAAAAATAAAAAAGGACTAGGGATGGGGCTCAGTAGTTAAATACTCACTGTGTTTAATCCCTGGTACCAAAAAAAAAAAAGGAGTCTTTTTTCCTGTGTGTGTGTGTGTGTGTGTGTGTATTATGTAGTTTCTTATCATTTTTAGCATCTTAAAATATTTTCCTTGTCTTTTGAGAGTTAGGCTTTTTTGTTTGTTTGCATGTTTCTCTTTATCTCTTTTCTTCTCCTAACAGCAAAATTCTCTTGTTCTCTCTCCTTTTAGTTTGCTTTTTTCCTTTTCTTTTTTTCCTCCTCCTTTATGGCCACCACTTGCTACATCTCTTCTGCATTACTCACATTTTTTTTCCTTTCCTATCCTATTTTATTTTTTTTCCTATCCCATTTTAATGAACTGCATTTTTACCATCTTTTAGAATTATTTGGTTTATATAACGCCTGCTTCCACCATTCATGTTTTTGCAGTTATTACTACTGTGGATGGCATAGTTGACACCCACTGTTTAATGCCAGATCTAGTTCACATCTGTATTGTTTTTGCTTTGGACAATTGTTGACACCGAACATTCTTGTTTTTGTGGTAATTAGTGTTGAGGATATTAGTATAGTAGGCACCTGGTATTTTTTTTTTAATGCTGTATTGGTTTGTTATAGTTGTCGCTGTTGTTTTCCCCTTTTCTGTGAGGTGCTGCAAATTTATAGGGACACTAAAAATTCACAGGTTAAAGACTCTGTTGCTGAACTAAACCCAGTCAAGGGACAGCTCACCTTGATCCACACACAAATTAACCACAT